TTTTTCCACATTGAGTACTTTTATTGTTAATACCACAGTACATTTTCCCGATTATACTCATAAACTTGTACATTTTCAGTGCAGTATTTTTATTTAAGCAAACGATCCAAGTACTTCCTTCACTTAATAATTATATAAATCAATGTGTTTTTAACCAGCGATGTTACGCAGCCACAGCCTGACTGCTCATCTCCTTTAATAAAGGTGGTTTTGTTTTGTAAAGTAAAAAAAAGTAGCAGTATGTTGCTGCAGTCACAGTTTTATCAGCTGTAATGAGCCTCAAAAAGCAGAATAGAAAGTTGGTGTGTTATGTAGGTGAAGACAAAAAAAAGAGAACGCTGCTTCCTACAGATTAATATTAGCAGCAGAAACACAACTAGATTAAGTAACTAAAGCATCACGTGATACCAGTTTCCTGTTTGTTGTGATTCACATCAACCCTCCACCAGCGTTGATTTTACAGCCAGCAGCTGCTCACGCTCATCATCACCTGACTGCTTTAGCTACTGCGCAGGCAGCCGATGCAACAATCAAATCATCAGGATGCTTCTGAACATGACATGAGATCACATGAGAGAAAATACAGAGATCAGCATGTGGTGTTCTGCTGAAGGATCGTCCTGGAGGTTTACTGCACAGGACGGATCTTCATGCTGATGGTCTTCAGGGAGTAGTCATGACCCCTCCACCGGAACCATTCAACTCCAACAGCAAAGAGAGTGCCGTCTGCCCCCCAACGATAGACACCGTTAGGGTTTGCAAAGTGACAGCCGTTGTACCAGAACCCCCCCAGGAATAGTCTGGCACAGTTCACACTAGAGAGGTCCTGGTCTTTGTCGAAGGTGGAGAACTTCTGTCCATTGTGAAAACTCAGGGAGTCTCCTGCAGAGGGTGTAAATTCACAAGATATTGATGAATTGTCAATGGATTAACTGGAGTCAGAGTCTGTACATAAAGATGGACGAAGACATGGCGTCACTCATTGGACGACGTTTTGAAGCCTCCAGCGTGGTGTTTGGTGACACCATACTCAGTTTAAACTTTGAGCGTTTCAGTCTGCCGTGTGAAATGAGCTGGCATTGTCTTCTTTATAACTGGAACTGTGCAGAGGATTGTGGGTCAGAAGGACCACAAAAGCTGCAAACTGCAGAATATGACCTGATGTAGTAGAACATCCTGGTGCTTTTAGAACCCTTTAGAACCGACACAGTAAATCTTTCTCTGCCACACTGCTTAGGATGCCGGTATTATGTTGAAACCAGCCCGTGCTCGCCCATACGGAGGTGATCTGTCAATCATACGGTAGCCCTGCCCTGAAACATACGGTACTTCATGGTCTGGGTTCCTCCAAACGGAACCGTAGTTTACTCAATGAACATTGTGCTGTGCTGAAGGAGACTTTAAACTCCCGACTGAGACCATAAACTCATGAGCAGAATGTCTCCTGAGAACAGATCAGGTGAGAAGGAGGATCATTTCTTCTTCGATACGGAATTCTTTAAATGAGCAGAGGAGGTGCCCCCTGCTGGATGTTAGACAGAATGCAGGTTTAAGGCTTCACGTTCAGACCTTTAGTCTACGTCCATCTTTTCATACAGTCTATGACTGTTAAGCATGTAATACATTAAAAATGCATAAACCTATAAGTCTGAAGTTGAGAAACATATCTGTCCGTATATGTAGACTAGCTGCAGTACCTTACTGGTCCACCAGGTGTAGCCTCTGACTGTTTAATGTGGTGGGGCTACAGGTGTTTTGCTGACCACCTGTCAGGGTCCGTAACACGAGTGCACTTCGCTGCTTTCTGACTGTCGATGAACTCTGCAGCATTGAGGTGTAAAAGGTGTCTGGTGGCTGCCTGGTTCTGTTTGCTAACTGGTTGTCATTTTTTATTTTGGACAAATTTGAGTCAAGTTTTGTTATTTTGGACAATTTCTAAATCATTATGAACAATTTTTAACTCATTTACAAATAATTAAGAGTCACTCTGCAGCATCAAGTTGTAAAAGGTGTCTGGTGTCTGTCTGCTTTAGCTAACTCCCTGAGGCTGATGCTAACGATGCTAAGCTAGGACTTTGTGTGTCTGTCAACAGAGGTGCTGCTAACGCTGAGCAGCGGCAGGATCACGCTGAAGTGATGCTCTGAGTATAAATCAGTGAGGAGGCAGGAAACACTGACAGATCTGCTGCCCAGCTTTTGTCCAGTTACCTTCTAATGACGCTTTGAGGAACACCGCTGGTTCACAAGTCAGTTGTAACATAAAGTAAAGATGTTCTGACTCACCTGCCCCTCCATTAGTAAATCCAGACACATGCAGTCTGTATCCGTAGGGTTCTGACTCGATGTAGAACGAGGAGTACCGAGCGAACACCTGGTTCCCATTGAAGTCCTCCATGTCCACCAGCAGCTCGTACCTATTCCTCACAAAGAGTTGGAAGAGGTTCTCAAGGCCTGAAAACACAGAAACATCTTCAGACCTTCATGGCTACACGTCCGTGAAGTCACTTCACAAACCAGAGCAAAAATGAGCCACAGCCTGTCTGGACTCTCACCCAGCCAGTACTCTCCAGCAGCGGTACCGAAGCCCGCCTTGTACTGGTTCCAGGGCCTGTAGAAGTTCACCGAGCCGTCCAGCCTCCTCTGGAACACCTGAGCAGATGTTTCAGAGCGTCAGGATTCAGACAGCACAGCTGGTAGCTGCAGAGTTACTGTGATGAGCTTCAACTCACCGTCCAGCCTCCTCCCTGGGACTCCATGTCACAGAAGACCTGCACAAACACACACTCATCAGGTAACTGGGACCACTGGTTCCACTGGTTCCACTGGGACCACAGGGACAACTGGGACAACTGGTTCCACTGGGACCAGGTCCCCACGTGGCTCATCACTTGTCAATAGTTGGAATCAGAAGGCCTCCGTCCTCTGGCTGCTTTCTGACACTAAACTCAACATTGTGGAGTGGAGCTGTACCCACATGGTTCTGTTGAGGCCCGCTACCGATTATTGGTAATCAGTGACACCGATCACTGATATCTGGAACTGATCAGCAGATGCAATCAAATTCAACACACAGTGTTGTTGTTTACGTCTGTGTCACATGTTAAATGAAAAGACTGCTGATTGGCTGTTGTAGGTGATTTGTAACCAATCAGAAAGCTGTGGGCGGGACATTACCGAGACCAGAGAGTGACTGAAGGCAGAGAGGAGCTTCCTTTAGAACAACGTTAGCTAATAAAGAACAACTTCACTTCCTTTAGAACAACTTTATTAATAAAGAACAACTTCACCTCCTTTAGAACAACCTTAATTCCATTTTGTACAACTTTAAATGAATTTGGAAAGTGGAACTTGTTATGGACAATATTTAACCCGCTCTAGAAAAGTGTGAAAAGTTCTGGACAGTGAGAAACTTATTTTGAACAACTTTTAATCCACTTTGGACACTTGTTAACAGATTTTTGTCATTTTAATTCATTTTGGAAATATTTGTTGGGGTTAGGCTGTTCTGGACAACTTTAAGTCACTTTGGACAAGTTTTAAGTCAGAACTATTGTCACCTGACTGTTGGTCACAGCTTAGTCAGTCGTGGAGAATCAGTTGTTCTGAGAAGTGAAGAACTTCTTGGCTTTTACAGCATCTGCTGCAAATGCTGCTTTTGGGGAAGTTCTACATGAGACGTGTAGAATAAAGTGTCTTTGGTGAAATCTGACAGCTTTAAGCCGAGGTTTCAATCATTTTGCTGATGAGTTTATGTTTTTTTTTTTTCCAAACCTGCTGGCTGGTTTTGGAGTTCAGAATGTTAATGAAACACATCAATCATAAATAAAAACCTTTCACCAAAGATTTGTAATTTTCAGTTTTACTGCAAATATAAATCAGTTCCAAATATCAGATATTGATCTTCTTGATTTCTAATAATCGGTGTCTGGCCTGTAAAACCCATGTGGGTGGATCCCTGGCGTTAACTTGGGGACCACGATGGATGTTCTCCATTGTGGCCAACATGTGATCTGCTCAGCTGTTAAGCAGTTCTCAGAGGAACCTTTACCTGGACACCAGACGTGGCTCCGATAGGGTAGATGATGTACACGCCGCTGGGTAGACTCTGGTCCCGGTCGTGGATGTCGCTGCAGTCCAGCGGGAGGAAGATGACCGAGCAGCTGGCCCATAGTGGCACCAGAAGGAGAACGGACAGCAGCAGCAGCTTTCAGGAGAACAACATCATGTCTGTCAGACAGCAGTGAAAGCAAACCTCCAACACAACAAGCAAAGTGCTGCTCAGCATCAGCACTTCCATAATATTTACTGGATCCTTCCAGAAAAGTGCAGAGTGAAGCTGGAAACACAAAGAAAGCAGAAAACAGCTGCTGCCAGCAGAGTTTTACACAAGATTACTGATCAGATGGGTCTGAACTGACAATCAAAGCTGTAGACTCACCTTCATTGTCAGAGAAATGATCTCATGGGAGTCAATGAGCTGCATTTATATCCCAAAGATTAATAAATGACTGGCCTGTATTTATATCTGTATTTGTATCCCAAAGATTAATAACTGACTGACCGACTTCTGCTTCACACTGAAAGGTAATAAAGTAATAAAGGTGACAAACCTGGATCCTCCTCTATGGACTTCGAGGGCCTGGAACTCTGAAAATATTCATAGTATGAAGGTAGAACTCTGATCATTAGATAAAGCTGCTGTAGATACAGAACCAGATGTTCTGAGGAGGTTTGGGGGGACTGCGATTGATTGACCACCATGTTACCAGCTGGACTTGAAATCCATGTTTACCACTTAAATAAATGAGGCCAAAGTTCACGCTGCAGGTTTCCCCCTGTTGAAGCAGAAACAGAAGTGGGTCAGAAGTGGGTCAGTCATTTATTCATCTTTGCGATATAAATGTAGCTCACTGACTTCCATCAGATCATTTCTCTGGCTATGACGGTAACGTTTATATCTTTGATTGTCAGTACAGACTGTGATGAGGTTCATAAATTCATCAGAGGAGGAGTGCAAGTTCTAGGTCAAGGTCAATTTTATTTACAGAGCACATTTAAAAATCAACACTAAAAAGAACATAAATGAACATACAAAAAAACACCCCAATATATATGCATCCAGGATGTCAGCGCCTGATTGAGGTGAAAGTCACTGAGTAGAGGTGGGTCTTTAGCTGAGACTTAAAAGATTCAGTAGACTGAGCAGCCCTAATGTCCAGCGGTAGGCTGTAATTTACAAAATGCTGTGACTAGAATATCTTAATTTAACCCACATATTTACTTTCTCTCACCACACATGATTTAGTTAGTAAGTAATTGACAGTTCAGCTGCACAGAGCAATCAGATTTAATGTGAAGTGTTTCCCCAGGAGAAAGCAGCTCAGATTTTGACATAGATATGCACTGATGTGTTACGTAAGCTGATGATGTTAACACACTGGTGGACAAGTTTTACAATATCCTGTCGGGCCACCTTGGTTGGCCCGTCACAACCCAATCTGGGTTGTGCATGTGTGAGCAATAATTTTTTAGGGCAAAATGATGTAAACTAACCCATGAATTCCTTGTTTCAGATAGAACTCTTCAAAATTCAGCTCTACAACAGACTGACTTGGAAATATAAAATTGTAGTGATGCCAACAACCAATCACGATTGTTCTTACCATTAATTTATTATGCAAAATCTTTCTGTTTATTAACACAAAGCCTACTTTGTAGCCAACATAAACACAATAAAGCAGTACTCTGAACTGCAACAATAACAAAGCTGATGTTCTGACGTTCTTTGCTGTCAGCTCTGCCTCCTGCTAAGTTGCGGCTCCCAGTCTTGGCCAGTCAGCAGGAGACTGGGACTGATTCAGCAATACAATCTGCTCTGGGGGAGTAAAGAAAATAGCTTGGTCCATGTGGTCTGCCTTGTTTGTTTTTGAAAACCCTGCAGTCATAAAGCATAATTTCCAATCAAGAAATCTCAGTTGAATTACAATCTTGCCAGACATCACCACGTCTTACAATGTAGGTTAGTTTTTAGTTAGATTTATATTGTTTTGTTAACTTTCTAGAAAAAGGCCACCAATTTCTTTACTAGTGTTTGAAATGTTATTAGAACTAATGAGGCTGTGGTTGAATACACATAAAATCACAGCTGTCTGTAATGTATCTGTGTGTTTCAGTGTTGCCTGCAGATGTCCTGCAGGTGTTGGTGATTAAAGAAGAAGTTCCCCATGAATGGAGCCCAAGTATGGACCAACAAGACCCAG